CATCTGGGATCTGAGTGACCAACCAGGGATAATTCCCTCCACCCACTGCATTTTCTATCCTACTCACTGCCCCCTTGGCACCCCAGCCTACTTCCCTCTTGTAGCATTTTCTCACATGTACACACACACGCGCTCACACATACACATGACTTGACCAACTTAGTAGAGCCAGGCCCTCTAAGTAGAATGCTGCATTTTCTCCAAATGCAAACAGGGTGTGGCTGAGATCCAGCTGCCCTCCTTTTGGGTTCTCTATCACAAGAGAAGCGAATTCACCCCCACCTTACCTCTGCTTTTCCTGCAGGCTTCTGAATACAGAGCCTCTCCAAGAATCTCAGGACGCATCCAGTCCTCCCCAAACAGACTGGGGGGGGGGGCAGAGCAGAGCTCCCCCTCCCCTAATTTAGTCATAGCCTTTTTTATCATATGTCCTCCTTCCTCTCCCTCTTTTCCATCTTCTTTTTGCCCTTTAAGATCCCCACCCAAACCCCAAAGTGTTCTACTTGGCAACACAAGGAAGTTAAAGGTGCCAGGGCAGAAAAACAACTTACAGGGGTAGAAAAGGTGGCAGAGAAATTTCCAGAGTTGATGTACTGGCCTTAAGAGCTTCCTCTGTCTTCACCCATCAAGGTCCCTGTGGCCCCCAGGTGCATCTAAAACCCAGACCACAGTTGTGCCCACAGGAACCAACAAGGAAGCCAGCTAGGAAGCCCAGGAGTAACTGCCCTGATTTATGAGTCCCTCAAGAACGTAAGGGGATGTTTTCAGGACCATTCGTTTGCAAGGCGTCCCCCCTCCTACTCCCCCGACATTAGTTTCTCTTATCCGTCCTTGCATCTCCTCTCCAGCCTGAGCTCTCTGAGGCTCTTGAACAGAGTGATTCCCAGCAGCTCAGCTCAGGAACAAATCCTCCGTGGCCCTCTGCAAGATGTAAATACACGGGTGCCCTCATGGAGACAGACGTGGTTCTGGTTCTGTGAGGACAGAACAGCCAAAAAATATTGATCAAACTCAGGGGGAAAATTGACAATGCACTGGCCTCCAACAAGAGTTTAATTGACAGAGACTTCCGAAGGCTGGTGCTGGACAGCGCATAAACTGACCGCGATGTTACTTTATTGCAATACATTCTGCTTTAATTAATTATCACCTTTGTTAAGAGCGGCTACAGATCAAAGGTTTCTAGATACTTAACAGATCTCACAAACAAAGCCCCGATGCATTAGGCTATCCCACAGCTCTCCAGTGAGGCAAACTGCTTCCCATTTTCTTTCCTCCTAGCTGTTGACTTCCTCCTCTTTGTTCAAGACAAACAGTTCTTTCTGCACAGCCGCTGTGTCCTAGGACCAGGATTGTGAGAGGTGTTGTCCGCCAAGAGCAAGGGGCTGCTGCTGTTCTGCAGCTGTTCCTAAAATTACACAACTGGGATTTGGTTCACCTTTGAATCTATCTGACTGAAATGGGAAGTGTTGGTAGAAGAAAAAAGAGTTCATGGAAACGCAAAAGGGATGTGTGTGTGTGTGTGTGTGTGTGTGTGTGTGTGTGTGTGTGTGTGTATGTGTGTGTATGCGTGTGTGTATGCGCGTGCGCACGACTGTGTGCATATGCACAAGCACAAGCAACTATGTGCACATCACATAAATATTGCGGGATCGATACATTTCACATCCGCTGCCCACACCTCTTAACTTCTCTCTCCCGTCTCTCAAGCACCTGTGCTACTGTCGTATTTCACACTGAGAAATGCTCGCAGCTGAAGCGTGCATAGATGATGCTGTATTGAACCAAGTCATTGCTTGGATTCCATTGTGTTGTCTTGGTGCCCACTGAAGGACAGTCCTCACCTGGGGTAGGTAGCGCCTAAAGAAACCACTCCTTAAGATGGGACAGGAACCTCACTCTCTAGAGTCCCCAAAACCTACAAACTGACAGGTGACTTACTTGAAAGCAATCCTTGGAGTGATTCTAGGCAGATCTGAATGCCATACGTGGCTGTTTGTTCATTATTCTAATTTAATGATGCAGTCACACCTAATTAATCCATGTCTGGTTTATTCATACACTATGTCTGAGGATCCAAAGGATCTCTCCAGCTAGCTGGCTTCCCTGTGCAGGGATGAGTGAGGTGGCACCCCTGACAAGTGACAGTGTCTGGGTTCAAACAAGATAGGATCACTGTAGACCAAGTTGATAGATGCTGACCCTGACACCACTGTCCATGCAGGTAGACACGACAGTAGCCACAGAGACACAGCAATGAATGTACACACACACATTCATGAGCACACTAAGCACACCTTATCTGTCGAGTGCAGTGGCTGTAATCCCAGCACTTTGAGAGTCCAAGGTGGGAGGACTACTTGAGCCCAGAAGTTTAAGACCATCCTAGGCAATATAGTGGGACCTTGTCTGTAAAATTTTTTTTTCAATTAGCCAAGTACACTGGCATATGTCTATAGCCCCAGCTACTTGGGAGGCTGAGGCAGAAGGATCACCTGAGCCCAGGAGTTTAAGGTCATGGTGAGCTGTGGTTGGGCCACTGCAATCCAGCCTGGGTGACAGAGTGGGACCTCCAACTCAAAAATAAAAATAAAACCTTCTACTAAGCCCTACACAAACCCAATTCCTTCTCATAAGTAACCGGGTGCATGTCACCATGTAATAAACAAGGCCTGGTGGCATGTCAAGTATCCATATGATTAAGAATTTTGTTGCAGAAGATTGAGAGGCTGAGCTAACTCAACCTTCCCACTCCGGTCTTAAGAAAGCCAAGCTGAATTCATTGCTGCCACTGCACAGACAAAGAGACTGAGGCTGGGAGTCACGTATGCCCAAAGTCAAGCCTGCAGCATGGCCTTCAGCACACCTTCCAGTGGCTGGTTCTGACCAGACTGTTCTCAGTGAGTGCTGTCTCTTGCCTGGCAGGTAAATTGAGAGAACAAGGCATCAACCTAATAATATCCTTATAAAGCCAAGCCTCCTCTCGCAAGTCCTAGGAGACAAGAGGCATCCAGAGATCAAACACTACATCACAGTGTATTTGTAGGAACTCTCTGATTCTGCTACCTCCCTATAATGCTCTAATTGACTATTTGATCAGCTCTGAAAGGGACGGTGTTCAAGACAGACTCACACACACATACACACACATGCACACGTACATACACATGAACACACTCGCTCACACACACACATTCACTCACCACCCAAACACATGCTCACACACGTTCTTTTGCATGCCGCAAACCTTGGTACCCACACCAGCTCATCCAGCAGGGGTAGATTTTCACAGGAGATGCTTGAAGGTGAGTTGGAAACACACACCTTAGACTGTACATGCCCTTCCAGTAATGGGCTTATCAATACCTCTTAAAGAATTGTGACAGCCAGCCCAGAGTGATTCAGTTGTGTGGACAAAGGTCAGCATATAGATATCCATTATTAATAATATCAATATCTTGGTTGACCAATATAACCAGAAACTGTATCATGTCTCTGTTGATGGGATAGGCCGGGAGGACTCCACAGTGATAGCAGGAAATTATGCCCATGTAAAATTAATCATATTGACTGGTTCTAAGAATATACAGAGAGGCGAAGATGTAGGGCCTGCTTGCCACGGTGGGAGAGGGGGACCTCCCAGAGGCTTCATGGTTTTGAACTCCTGGAAGGAGACCGGGGGGGAACAGAGGTGTCCCTGGGTGACCCATGAGAAACTCTCCCTCATCCGGCCTTTGCTCTTCAGCGGGGTGGGGCGGAGGAGAGGTGTTCTCTGAACAGGAAAAGAAAGAAATAGGATCCCCAAACCATTATCCATCCAGCATATCCATATCTTTCTGTCAAATCAATACTTGACTTGGCATGGTCTCACCGGATGAGGTGCACAGAGCATCCTTGCCCCTGCTATGTGATGAGGTCTCTCTCTGAGGGGGTGGTGAGAGCCTGAAGCCCAGTCCCCATCTCTGTTGGGGGGATGCTGGCCCTGGGAGCTCCAGTGTGCACTCTGCAGTCTGGGCGTCCCAGGAGGAAAGGCACCCGATCAGATCAATCACTGTGATTAAGTTCTTGGGATCAGCAGAGCCAGGGACTCAGGGTGCTGCCCGCCAGCATTGCTGGTGGAGTGGAAATGTCCTGGACCTTAGCAAGCCATTCCCCACCAAGGCTTGCCTCCAGTCCCAGTGAGTGAGAAGGAAAGGGAGGAGGTCGTGCTTCCTTGGCCTTAGCCTTCTCTTGAGCCAGGCCTGACCCTCTCTCCGCTTGCCCACCGGACCCCGGAGTCCGGCACAGGATGGGAACACCTGGAAGGGTGTGCTGAGGAAGAAACTAAAAGGAGAGAATCCCGGTGTCTCGGAAAGGGACGAGAGCAGGCCGCAGAAGTGTCTCCAGCGACAGCCAAAGGCCCAGTAGGCTTTTTGATCCTTCCTTTTCTCTGTTTCCAGAGTCGTCAAGGCAACTGAAAGGGAGCCTGCCTTAGAGTCCAGGCCCCGTGGTGGGCGTGATGATGAATAAGAAAGGGGCTGCTAAGGTGGGGGGCGGGGGCTGCCTTTGACTGTGAAGCCGGGCGAGGGAATGGCGCAGAGGCTGGGACCGGAGCTGGGGCCGCTTGAGGCAGGATGTTTCCCCTCCCACAAGAAAGCACTCGAGTCACAGTGGACCCGCCTTATCCGAGCCTCCCACCCCCCACCCACCCAGTGCCGCCAAAGGGCAAGTGGGTTTCCTGGCGTCTGTGCGGTTAGAGTCTTGTCCAGGAGCTCACATCCAACCCGCGGGACCAAGAGGCTTGCGGGTCACTGCCGCTCCATCGTTAGGGCGCACAGCCCATTATTCTTAACTGAGTCGCACCCTAGACGGTTTCCCAGGTCGGCGGACTGGCTCCCATCTCCACCAAGGCTGAGCGGGGCCACAGAGGGTTTACGGGGAGCGGGCGGCAGAGTTAAGTCCTCTGCCCGCAGCGCCCTGTCCCCTCCTCGACCACAGGGCCTGGGTCTAGGTGGCTCTAGGGAGACCAGCGGCGAGTCCAGAAGCTAGGCCGCTTCTTTGCACCCTTCTCATACACTGGGGAGGAAGTCCCCACACTGTGCGTGGGGGGAGGATGGGCTCCTCTCTCCTCCAGCTGTCGCCTGCCCTCTGACGGTGAGACGAAGAACTACTCGAGCACACGCCGCGGTCCCCCAGACCCAAGCGCCCGGCTCCTGCCGCAGCCCAGGCCCCGCCCTATCCCAGGAGCTACGCACCAAACCTCCCCCGCACCCCGCTCCTCACCCCGCCGAGGGTCCGCAGCTCCCTGCACGGGTGGGTGACTCCGGACCCGGGGTCATTTCCCTCACTTGGCAGGTCAGGTCTGAGCCTGGGACACTAGCAAAACGGGGACACGCAAAAGGAGATAGGGAGAATCAGAAAATCCAGAAAGTGTTGTAGTTTCTGTACCACGTGAGTCTTGTTTCATTGCAAAAAAAGAATAATTAGAGTCTATGGTTTAGTATGGTTTTTATTCTTAATTCCATATGTTGGGAGCTTATCAGCAAAGCACCAGAATCTTTTGCATTCTTAGGGTCTGACGTGAGTCCAACTCCAAATAGCTGTGTTCCTCAGCTTCCGCAAAGGAGTCTCCAAATGTCCCCACAAGACGCACAGACCCGCGCGGTGCCTGATGAAATGGATGGGCCTGCGGGGTGGACCCACTGATCAGTGATCCATGGGCACATCCGCCACCCATTCAGCATCGGAGCGAGAGAGACACAGAGTAGGACAGTCACCGCTGGCTTGTGCTCAGCCTTCATTTTCTTCTCCAATTTTTAAAAATCTTTTTAATCGAAAAATAAGACCTTCCTCTGTGCTGTCATTTTGACTCTTTCAATAAGCAAAGGATTTGATTTTTTTTTTTTTTTTTTTAGAGTAAATTCGGTTGCAGTTCTGTGGGGCAAGCTTAGAACTCCCCTGGAATGAGGAATAAAGTTTTGGCCTGGAACCCGGCACCTGAGAGGGTCCTCTGGGGAGGAGAGAGGAGCTGTAAGTTGAAGGGTGATGTCTCTGCAGGAAAAACATCACTTCGCTGGGCTCACAATGACAGTCCAGTCCTTAGAGAAGAAATCTCGCTGCAGAGAGCACACTTTCTCCGGGAGGCCCTGCCCAGACAGGTGGGAAGCCCCGCAGGAAGGGCCAAACAGGCAGACTGCACCATCCCAGCGGGGAGTTAGGTTCCTGCACCCTCAGGTTCCAGACCCCTGTCTGCTCCTTGTGCCACCACCAGGACCTTGGTTTGTTTCTCCCTGAGTTTCTCAAGTTTCTCGGCAAAACATCCTCTCTGAATGTTCTGACCTTGTCTGGGCTAAGCCAGTGATTAAGAAGGCTGGTCGGCAGCAGAGACCACACAGCTAGGAGGAGAGCATCCCCGCAGACCAGCAGGGGCAGGAGGCGGGGCCTGCTGGGGCCAGAGTGGGGGAGGGGGTGTCACCGACCCAGTTTGTCCCAGGTCTGTCGCCTTCACACTCACCTCCAGGGTGCAGGCAGGCTTCTGCAGAGCAGGGAGGAGGTGAGGGATTGCAGATAATGAGGGTGTCCCCCCACCAGGAAACCCCTAGGTCTGATGGGGGAGACGCAGGCCTCCCTCAAGGAAGTACAGATTTATGTTCAACTCAGGTGCCCTGAGTATCAGGCTATGTCCTCTGAAAGTGGGGAACACAACCTCACTGCCACAAAACAACTTGGAATTTGATAGATAGTGGCTACCCCACAAACATAAAACTGCCCGGTGCAAATGTCTTTTGTGGGGAAAGTCGAAACCCCCAAAAGATGAGTAATCGGGAGGGGCACTCCAGGGCTTGGCACCAGGTTCCCAGGTAGAGGACAGTCAGTCGGAGCCCGGGCTGGCTGATGGAACAAGACAGAGCTGGGAGACTGGAGAGCTGACAGGTCAGGGTGTTTTGTTTTGCTTCATTCCATTATGTTTTGTTTTTGTCCCACTGCAATGAAGTCTCATTCTCAGGTTGTTGGACAAAGGAGTTTCTCGTTTTGAATAAATTTGCACGAACCGCCAGCCTGGCTGAGGGAGAATCGGTCAGGAGTGGGTAGGTGGGTTGCAGGTACTTCCTTAGGAAGTCAGTGACACACAACCCTGCCAGGATTGTCCTCACCTGCTTTGGGGCTGCAGTGTCCTTCAGCTGTCCCAACGCAGCCCACTTGGGCTGAGAAATTCCTCATTGAATATTTAAACCCGTGGCCATGTTCCCTGTCACCGAGGCAGGCATCCAGATTGTCCCCACAGACTCACTCAGACATCCCAAACAATACACTGTGGGGTTCTGGGGACTGGAATCTTCCCACACCCTCTGCCCTTTTTCTGCTCTGGCCCCCAGATCAGGAGTGGCTGGATAGCAGCCAAGCAGTGGGGCTGAAGCCAGGGGACAGTTTCCTGGGGTGACACTGGTCTTGCAACTGGAGGAATCTTGGCAGGCCCCGGGAAGAACTGCTTCCAGTGTAGATAACACACCTGGGCAGCCCATTTACTGCAGGGGAGCAATGGGGGACCTCTCTCGCCTCCAAAATAAAAACCCAGTCCAGAGGAGCAGTCATGGATGAAGTGTGGCCTTTAGGGCTAGCTCTTTAGGGGAGCGAGAATCTCCTCTTCTAGGCCTTCCACAGACCTCCCTCTCTGGCATCTTCTTGACCCCAGGGATTTCTCAGGGAAAAACAGAACAGGGTTCAGTCATAGAGAGGGAGCGACTGACCATCAGCTCCCTGCAGGGATGTGGAAGTCACTGGTGGTGGTCTTCCAATGCCCTTCCAGCTCCCGGTCATCCAGCCTTTACATAACTCCCCCTCCACATCCATGCCCCAAGCCCAAGCCCCAGGTCACCAAACCTGGGGCTCTCAGGCTACGTTCCCCAACCAAAAGTGGGCCTCCTTTTCCCATCCTTTTAAAGTCCTGCCCCTTGCTGATCTGACAAATCAAACTGGGCAGATGGGTCCCTGGCGGCTAATGTACATTAATGTGTTACCATCTCTGTTGCCACGTGCCTTTTAACAGGGACCTTTGAGAGCCCAGGCCTTAACCCAAAGAAACATTTCTAATTGAGGGAATTTCCAGCACAGGCCAGGCTGGAGGGAAACTGTGGGGCAGGGAGGCCCCTGGCTACATAGGCCCGTCTGGCCTGGAGTGCGGTTGCCCAAGTGGAACTCCACCAGAGGGACCCAGGCAGCTGAGGGGCTGGTCACTTTGCCGGTTTCCCAGCAGGGCCAGCGGATCACAGAGGCTGCCACACCAGAGGTTTAATCAAATATCGAACATGGTCCATAAACTTAAACCAACGTCCTCTCTGGAATGCCACGTCTCTTCCAGGGAGCAACCCAGCTCAGGGGAAGTTTCCAGCACAGCTTTGCCTGGGTGCTGGGGCAGGGCTTCTTGGTTATGCTTCTTGTGGGGGGCAGGGAGACAGACAGGGACCACGGTGGGAGTGAAACTCGTGGCTTTCCTCCTCCATCCTATTATTCATTTCCTCTGATTTTTATCTAATCTCTCCCTGATTGTCCTGGTGAAACTTAATAGACAAAGTGAATTTTTATTACATCATCAATATAATCTCCAGCTAATCAGCCGACACAGGGGCCACCGCAAGCCCTGTAGCTGCTCAGCTGGCTTCATAAATACTAGAAACAACCCCTACCAAGCCCAACTCTTCTAGCTCCCCGCCGAGAGGCCCCTCTCCCTGCGGGGGCCCCCTCCCCAGACCTATTCTTGGGGTTTCTGTCTTCCCACGGATCCCCCCACACTCAGTGGGCCACATTGCCGGTTGATGGAGATATCTTCCCCACTAGTATTTTTAGTTTCTTTCCTCCCAGCTTCAGCTGTTAAAATCACAAATCTGGGGCTTGTGTTTCGAATGCCAAAATAGCCTAATGTCGACTGATTCTGATTCTACTCTTCTCTGAGCTGGGAATATGATATGTCATAAGATGTTACAAAGTCCTACAGATCACAGGACGTACTACCAAGCACATTACATGTCAAATCAAGTCCTGTGTTATGTTGCACATGTGTGAGCTCTGCACAAAAGTGTGTTGGTCATTTAAAGTCAAGCCAAGCACCTTATATACCTTATCATAGGTGTTAAAGTATATATTTTATGTATATTATAGGATGCTTTCCATTTATATAGTATTTTAATTGCGAAATACTTTCTTACATAGCACCTCCTTTTATCCTTCTTGCAAACCAGGTACCGTTGATACCTTTGTCATAAAGAAAAATGGAAAAAGGATCATGAAGGAAAATTACAACCTGGTCAAATGCTGCCAGGACATGGCAGAATGGCTCAGGCTCAGGATGGGTGCAGGCGAGGCACAGAGGCGGGCATGGGGACAGAAGTGTCACGGCTGACCAGACAGGAAGCTTCCTGGGGCCTGGCCTGCTGGGCTGTTCCCGGCCAAAGGGTGACCTTCATCTACAAAATAGGGAATTTTTTCCCCCCTCACAAGTCTGCCCAAAGTTAAATGTGAAACTGATTGTGCCCCTTCCAAGGCCACTCGCTGGGAGACTGGGCCCAGTGAAAGGAGGTGGTCTTCTCTACTCCCTGAGGCCCAGGCACATGGCTCTGTAGTGGTTTGGATTTCAGAAAACCAGTAAGCACCACTAAGAGTCAAATCCTGTAAATAAGGGGCATGATAAGGAGAACGAATCTGGCTTTTGGGGTGTCCACAACACCATCGCCTGTTTGGGAGAAGAATCTGCTTTCTGCAGATCATCAGGGCCAGCTCTGAGGGTGACCAGCCAACCTCTAAGGGAGCACCCCTCTGATTCCTGCACAGAAGGTCAGTTCCATGTGCCTGTTCAGCGGGTGGTCCTGTGTGTCTGGGGCTCATGCACGGGCTCCTCCAGTTTGGGTCTCACCATCCAGGGAGGCTTGGCCTTCGCAGGGCCCCCCGGGAGCAGTCAGTGCTGAGGGCTCTGGACAGGCAGTTGGCATTCCAAGAATGCACTGCACCCCGGAGCCGGACACCCGAGACATCCTTCCCGAGACCAGGAGCCGGACATCCTTCCCCACCCTGCCTCTGGTTCCCCAAGCGGCCCAGTCACCCCACGTCCTCACTCCCATCCTTGGCTTTCTCCCCCTCTCCCGTCACTGTGGTGACCCCAGCTCAACCCATCTTTTAGCGCCGTTGTGAAGCTCACACAAGAAGGGAAAATGCAGTATAGAAGCTAAAATGTCCAGGGTCCTTGCCATGCATTAAGGGCCAGTGCCTCCATCGGACCACTCGGCAACTCTGACCCTCCTGCTCACTCTCAGAAACAGGACGCAAGGGACATGCAGATCCGAGGATGGACGGGCAGGGGACAGACAATGCACCTACTAGGTGACACACACACAGGCTCTCACTCTTTTATCTCATCAAATCCTCATGACAAAATTTCATCAGAGATGTCACTGTGTCCCTTTGAATGCCAAGGAACCGAAAGTTGGGAGAGCATGAACTCGACCGAGGTTACGTCCACCCAAATGTGTCATGTTCTCAAGCCTGCCACATTACCATGACTGCATGCTCCCTCCGTGGAAGTAAATAAAAAGATCACCTTTTGCATCTCCTCCATTTTGCAGATGGGGAAACGGAAGCCTCACATCATTACTGGCTCATGTTTTATTAAGTCATTACACACTCTCGGGTGTGGAGGATCTGAAAACGTACACACACAGAGACACGTACACATTTATGCACACACAGAGACAACTCACACAGACAGCACCCTTACACGGATACACATACACATGGACACACATATAATATAGACTCACAAATAAGTACCCACAGACACACGCAGGAACACATTCAGATATAAACTTTCATATGGATACTGTATACACAAGCACGCACACACCCCAAAATGTGGATTCACACGCAAGCGCACATTCACAGACACACACATATAGAACTATGCTGACACGCATGGAGAAACACACTCAGACGTGGACGCCCGCACTCACACAGATGCACACACTCACACCACTCATTCATGACAAGGCTTAAGTAACCACAAGGCCATAGACACAATTTAGCCACCGAACTTGTTAGCAGGGGAAGTAAAAGCAGCGGATTTGAAGAGAGGGATGGCAAAGGCCCAGCTTGGAGGGGAGGAGGGGACACAGGGTCCCCAGGAAGGCCGAGGCTAAATCCTCGTTAGAAATCAACAGAAAAACAGAAGGCATCTGCTGAGAGCCCTCCCTCTGCAATCTCCCTTCTGCGTCAACCTGTAGGATCCTGGCCAAATTTCTGTTCATCTGAGCAAGACTAAAGGCAGGACCTGGAGAAATTTTGAGCAGGCCTTCCAAGAGCTACCACCCCCAGGCACTGGCTGGGACAGCTCTCCTGTAGGAAGGGGAGGCCTGGGTGCAGAAGAGGCTGCCTCTCAGAAGTGGCCACTTGAAAGGAAGGAGATGAGAGGGGAAAATCTACGGCTAGAGTCTCTCCTGAAGGCTGATGCTCAGGCTACCTCCCTGTGCAGCTCAGAACGAGGGACAAGCTTTGTGCACATCCAGTCCTTCCTCTGCCGTTCATGCAAGCCTGCTGCAGGCTGCTGGACTTCTGTCAGTCCAGGGGAACACACTTGGTAGAGAAGGCGGCCCTGCTCAGCTGAATTAAGGGAACACACACACACACACACACACACACACACACACACAAACACACGAGCAAAGGCTAAGCAATGGCAAGAAGTTCATCAGAGAATGGGAGACCTGTGGTTTTCTTTTCTTTAAAATAAAATCCTGATGAACTGGGAATGAGTTCTCTATGTTTCCTCCCCACAATGTGTGAGCAGATCATTTGGAAGTTGAGGTTTTCTTGGGGTGATGGGGTAGTGGGCATGGACTTGGACCATGTGTGTCAGACAGAAGATACGACAGATGGCCACTGGAGGTGGCCCACATGTGGCCCTGTCCTTCACGGACGCTGTGCCCACAGGCTGCCGGGAGCAGGCTTGGCAGGCACCTCTGGGGACCGTGGCAGAGAATGGGCTGCGGCATGTCTTCCAGAGGCTACCATGTGGATTCATGCTGTATCCTTAGGTTTTGTGTTTACACTGTGCCCTGTGGGTCTGCGAAGTGCATGCACACGTGTGAGGCTGTTGTACGGGCCAGTCTGAGTCTGAATCATGCAGCATTTCGGCTGCCCTGGTCTCTTCATTCCTGCAAGTCTCCAAAGCTCCCTTGTCCTGAGACTTGCCCCCTTGCAGAGCCCACCCCGTCTCCCAGCTCAGAGTCCCAGGATATCCCATGCCAGAGCCTCCTCTGTCCCCCATCTGAATAAAGTGCTCTGGGTCTGAGCAGAATTCCAGGATCTGGAGCCCCTCGGTGCAGCTGCAGTGAGAACTCTGTGTGTTTGTGTGTGTATGTGTATGCATGTGTGCTTGTGTGTGGGTGTGGGCATGCA